ATAATAATAACCATTTTGGAAAACTGGGGTGTCACAATATTGACTCCCAATCCCTTGCCTGATGCATGCTTCTAGGAATAGGCCACTACTAGAAAATTGCAAAATAGCGACCGAAATTAGCAACCAAAATTTATCAGTCGCTATTTAGTAACTAATTTAGCAACCGATTCTGAATAATTAAAATAGCAACTGATTTAGCGACCAAAATAAGTCATCGCTAGAAAATCATTCGCTATTTCGGTCACTAGCTACTAAATTGTAAAAAACGTTGCGACCGAATTTAATTCGGTCGCTAAATATTAGTTAAATTTAGCGACGGAATTGAATTCGATCGCTAAATATTAGTTAAAATTAGCGATGGAACTGAATTCGGTCGCTAAATATTAGTTAAATTTAGCGACGGAATTGAATTCGGTCACTAAATAAGAAATTTTGATTTTTTAGCAACGGAATTGAATTCGGTCGCTAAATATTAGTTAAAATTAGTGACGGAATTGAATCTGATCGCTAAATATTAGTTAAAATTAGCGATGGAACTGAATTCGGTCGCTAAATATTAGTTAAAATTAGTGACGGAATTGAATTCGACCGTTAAATAAGAAATTTTGATTTTTAGCGATGGAATTCAATTCGGTCGCTAAATAATAGTTAAAATTAGCGAAGGAATTGAATTCAGACGCTAAGTATTAGTTAAAATTAGTGACAGAATTTAATTCGGTCGCTAAAGATTAGTTAAAATTAATGACGAAATTGAATTCGGTCGCTAAATATTAGTTAAAATTAGCGACGAAATTCTATTCGGTCGCTAAATAAAACTTAAAAAAATTATAAATTGCTTAAAAGTGATGATAATATTGTTGTTGAGTATCATTCCCATTTTATTTTTTTTTAAGAGCAAGACATTAATTTATAATAAAAAAGATATTTATATGCACTCCTACATAATTAATACCAATAGTTATTTATGTGAAAACATATTTAGAGACTTTTTTTTTATAATTGGATTTTTAGGCATTTTTTCAATTAGAGTATACGAATTTTTTAAAATTTCTTATTTATTTTGATCCATATTTATAATATATATTTCTAGCTTATGATAACTTTACTTTTAAATAAATTTTTATATTTAAATTTTATTGATAGAAGAGATGTGATATCTTAGAGAAAAAAAGAATTATAACATCATCTCTCTTTCTAATAGGAAGAGTACAAATGTATTTTCTTAACTATTAGTATTTCTTTATTGTTGTGTGATAAAATTGATTATTTTAAATTATTTAACTAGAATCTTATTAATAATTTACTATATGATTTTCATACTTTTGTATAACTAATATCTAGTTTTAAACTTGATATGAAAATATTATGATATAACTAGATAAGATTTTAAATTAGTATTTTATTAATGGTTGATAATTAGAAAATAAAACAAGGATAAATACATTTTTTGAATTTTATATCTTAGATTTAAGATGAATAAATATATTAAGTTAATTAATAATTTATTTAAAATGTTAAAATTTAATTTATAAAAATAATATTTTAAAAGAGAAGGGTTATAATAACATCGGTGTAACTTTTACTAAGTATTACATCGCTCAATAACTTTATATTAAATGTGAATTTTATAAATTCAACCATTAGATTGAAAGTTTTTTACTCTTAGATCATATATACAAAATTTTATATGAATTCAAGATGATTTGATACTTCATTCTTGTAAAACAAAATTGACGTAATATATACATTTCAAATAAAATATGAGCACTTTGATTACTTTCAAGTTGTTGTTCAATTTTAACAAAACTTGATATAAACATATAAAGTGATATGAACTTTCAATCTAACGGTTGGATTTACAAAATTCACATTTAATATAAAGTTATTGAGCGGTGTAATACTTAGTAAAAGTTATACTAGTGTTATTATAACCCTTCTCATTTTAAAATATATAAATTATTACTTAAACTTTTAAATTTATAATAAATAATTTAAATTGTATCATAAAATTAATTTTAAATATAAATAAGTAGATTGTTAATTATAAAAGTAAGTATATATATAAATAAAGATTAATTAAATATAATATAATTATTATTATTAGTAATATAATTATTATATATATTATTATATATTTATAATGGTCTGAATACACCAAAATGATAAGGATCCAAAGACAGTATAAATATGATTAGATAGTTGAGGATGACTTAAATGAATTAATTTGTACTACTTATACTAACAACATGCATCTGCTTTTCGGTAGCTTATCTCATCAGAACTTCACAGTTAAGCGTGCTTGACTTGGAGTAATATAGGGATGGGTGACCTTTTGGAAATTTTCTAGAAATTGTGTAATTAAGGACAAAACATGATAAAAAGTTAAGTATTATGAAATAAAATCCTTAAGAGGCCAAATATAAGTGGTTTGTAACGACCAAATTTTTTATGTCTATAAAATTTAATAAAATAAAAAAAAATATTTAGCGACTGATTTATTCGGTCACTAATTTGGTCGACCCATATACTTCAGTGACCAAAATCATCGCAACCATTTTGCGATCAAAATTTTCGGTCGCTACACAGCGATCGAAAATTTTTTCATCATTAAACAGCTTAGTGACCAGGGTTTTAACGATTGATTAAATTCGGCCGCTAAGGTAAATAACGACCGATTTTAGCAATTTAGCGACCGATTTTGGTGATCACTAAATTGCATATTTTTTGTAGTGAGGCAAAATATGAAAGTTTTCTATTTTGCTCTCTAAATGTTATATTGCGTTTCTTGTGTGATGTTGAGTGTGAATATGTGTTTGATTTCAAAATTAGATAAGTTTTGAATTAGAGTGTTCTATGGGTTCCTGAGAAAACCCTATGAGCAACAGGAAAATTTATAATGTTTTTTGTTTTGACTTATGAGTTTTCTATTGTGTTCCTTGACGTTTGCTGGGTGTGAATGTGTTTGATTTCGAAAATAGATAAGTTTTGGTATGAATTAGAGTGCTCTATAGGTTTCCATGGGAAACCCTATGAAGTAAAATTAGGGATATGATTTTCGAATGAATTTTGAGACATTATATGTAAAATTGATGATGGATTCATGTTTTGGATAATATTTGGAGTGTTTTGACTGATTGAAATATTATATTAACTGGCTAGTTGTATAAAATGCGTGAACTCGTGAAGTTGGATTTATGACCGTTATGGTTCGTATGTTATGAATTGTGAATTGAATGTGTATCTTGGTATGGTTTATGTGTTATTCTGATGTATATGTCTATGAGAAGTTTCTTGTATGAGACTATGTAAATATGATGAGACATTGTGAAAAGTGAATGAGACACGAGACATGATGATATGTGATAATGAGACATGATATATGAGAAACTATGACAAGTGAAATGATGAGTCAATGAAGTGTGAATGTGTGACATGCATCATGTGCATAAATGTTTTAAGGGTACGATATGAAATATACTGCCAGGGAAGACCCCCTTGTGTAAAAGCTTGGGGATTAGTCCTTGGAGATAGTTCAGTTTGTAAGTCTTAGTCTCGCCCATTGTGTGCATAGGATGTATCTTGCGTGGCTTAGTTATCTCGACTAGACCCTGGTAGTATGCCCTTCTAGTGAGAGTGCGCAGAGGGTGTGACCTAGCATGTACTCCTTGACTACTCTTTGTGTATGCTAGCCGCAATGCACCATGTGATATGTGATTGGCGCCACATGCATGCATTTGTGAGTCAAGTATATGGAATCATTGCATAATGAGTGACTATGTATGTGCTACTAATGTATGTATGACTTGCGTTGTGCTTGATTAACATGTATTTTGTGTTGAGCTTTGTTATGATTTGTGTGTGTGCTGCCTGACCGTTATTTTTACACCTTAACCTGAGTGAGATGTTTCTCACTCCCCTATTTGTTCTATGTGTGTCTTCTACTATGTTGCAGATGAACATCAACATGAGGATGTTGGTGATGAAGCTTAGGCTTCAGTTGGGCGTGCTCTAATAGGATATCTTACATCGGGACGTAGTTAAGATTAACTTAGAATGCTACTTTTGTTAAATTGATTAGAAGACCTTAATTTTATCCTTTTTTAATTTCCACATTAGACTATGATTTATTTTTTATGAATGTGAGCTTTTTACCTTTATGTGGTTAGAGACTTGGATTTTATTTATGAAGGTTTTTATTTATCTCTATTTATTGTATAATTATGTATGTGGAGTAAAGGGTGTCACAAATTTTGTAGGGTTATTGGTAAATTTACAATTGTTTATGTTTGAAGAATTGATGATTCCATTAAATTCTACATGTATTGAGGATTAGGAATATGTGAACAATTAGTGAAAATGATGATCTAGGAGAGAGAACGAAATTGTAGAAAAGTTAGGTTTTGGAAAAAAAATTAGAGGTTTTACTATTTGAGTTAAGATTATATAAAATTAATGATTCAATTGAATTTTATATTGATTTATAAATGTGGTTGTGATATTATTTGATAAAATTGATTATGTAGATGATAATTGGATTTATTGGGAAGTGATCTATCAGTTAGGGTCCTTGTATATTGATGAACACCCTTAATTATATGAATTAATGAGTAATTGAGATATTTTACTTA